TAGGCCCTCTGGACCAGGGCGGATAAAGGTTGGGCGGTGAAACGAGCGCGTCCGAGCAAAAAGGTGTGATGCAGTGGACTGGGACTCTGCTTAGAAATGTCGCTTGTTTTCGACTTCGGTCAGGGCTTGCGATGTAGTTTGTCCATTAGACACTGCCGCTGTCACTGAATTATGGCGGCTTGATTTTGTTTTCTTGCACTTCTTCCTCGTTCCTTTGCGCTGGTACGCTGTCTCCGAGAGGCAAATGTTGCAATTTTTTGCGGGAAGTTTGATTGGATTAGACAAACATCTCTTTCAAAGGGTTTCTCTTATTACTTCCATGACTCTACCACTGAATTATATTTTCGTTTACTACTCGCCAATGTCGATGTTATTCCAAAACAAAAACAACTAAGTACTGTCTAAAACACGAAGGAAAATCTCATCCATGTCATCCATGGCAAAACTAAAATGTTTCATAACTAGATGACGTGTAGTTTATAAATGCGGGCAGCTCGTGCAAGGTGTAATTATGCTAATTGCAATCACCATCATCCTTCTTTTTAATTTTGAAAAAAACATCTCATACGTCTTTCTGTTGCTTCGAAACTTCAAAATTAGTTTCCCCTCAGTTTTTACTGTTTACCTTGTTTTGTTTTAGAGAGAAAAACGGAGAAAAAACCTTACAACTAACCTCAATAAATTTTGTTTACATGCAGTTGGCGGATTTGCGACGTATTGCGCGGATCGCCATGGCGCGTTGCACCCGAGAAGCAAAGTTTGAAGCAGTACAACGCCACTATATCAAAATATATCAATCTAATGTTTTGTTATGTCATATAAAATTTATCCTCCTTTAACATATGTAAAAATTGAGGTTAAGAAGTGTTAAGCTTTTGCAAACGAAACGGCGAAACACGATTAGGTGATATTTAGTGGAAGGAGGAGGTATTCAACACTTTCAAATTAAAATCAAATTTTGCCATTATACGACCGACAAGTTTGACTTACAGGCATACAGACACAAACATATGAAACTGTTTATTGATATTGTTATGAAATGAATTTATCTATTTAACAATGTAGCCTGAAATTACAGAAAGAAAATAGGATTTCCGGTTTGCAAAAAGGAAAATTTCGCCGGCCTTGAAGCGCACCGGAAGCGCGGAAAGAGCGCTCGTGCCAGTCCTACTCCGCATCACACATTAAATGAAGAGCGCGCGGAGCGCTCGTTTCACTGCCCAACATTTACCCGCCCTGCTCTGGACTGTTGTAACTGTCTCGGATCGCTGTGCCTTTGACCTTCCACCCTTTCGTCGTTGCGTCGAGGATTTCTCTTGATCTCCCTTTCTCCCCACTGTTTTTGTGTCACTTGTTAGGAAACTCGTAGCAGTAATTATTTGAGGGCTTCTTCAGTACCAAGAAATAAACTTGTGCGGCATTTTTCAGCCACAGCAACAGAATGACAGCATATCTTTGCAGATCTGTATCTTTCGCATTCTTCACAAACTACTTTTCCATCAGCTTGCTGAAATACTTAACAATTATTGTTTGAAATCGAGGTGAATAGTGGCAAAATATTTACCGAGCCGCGAAAGCGGCGAAGTAAATATTCCCAAAGCCACTATTCACCGAGATTGAAAAGAATAATTGTTTTAGTATATACACACGAAGTGATCTCAACAAAATCAGAAAGGAAACCATTCAAAAGTAGGATTTGATTGACAGATCAAATCACGCGTAAGTTTAATAGATCTTTGCAGAATTGTCAAACATGGCAATTCACAAGTTTACTCATTTCGCAAACAACAGCGTAATGGCCTCAATGGAAGCGCTAAAAGTTTGAACTGTTTCCTTACCTGAGAAAAAAAGTAGACCTGTGTTGTTTTCTGTTGACTCGCCAAGTTTATAGCCAAAAGGGTTTGTTGTGTTGTTCTTCGCATGAAGTGCTGACAAAAATGGCGGCTCGGTTGCTCGAGGTAAGAGGTCGTCTTCCTGTATCATTCTTTTTCCTGTTTACTTGAAATGTAGAATTTCTGCAAACATTTCCTTTTAAATTTGTTTGTCATAAATAAACTTCGATTTTTGAGCCAAAATTTTCTTCTTAGAAAACGCTGAGTTCACGAAAGGGCTTCTTCTACGCGAATACACGGGAGTTGTAAACAATCCATCGAGCGCAAAACTCCTGCTACAGTAAATTGAAAAACGCCGTATTGAATCCTTCCAAGTCTTTTCTTGCCTTAAAAAAAGTCAGCCCTAGGATTTTGTCGACTTTTAAAAGATCGTTCTCTAAAAAAACGGGAAAAACACCGAGCTCACACATTATCCACTCGCTAGGAGGTGAATATTGTTGAATAGTCCGAGATAGCGAACCAATCAGATTGCTTAAATCACCAAGATCACTGAGTGTGTATATACTAAAAAGTAATGTCTCGCACCATTGTCATTTCTGACGACGAATAAGTTCTCTTTAGTCTAGCTAGTTTGTTGACTCACAATGTGACCTCTGAAATAATCTAGTTTGCCATTAATATTAAATAACTGTATTAGCCCTAACACCACCCAATTACTTTTTGGATGATAAGTGTAAAATGACAAAAAATACCTAAATAAACTAAAGAACTGCACTGTAAGGCCTCTAGAATTTCAAGAACACTGCCAATCACAATTTAAAGACTGATTATTTTCTATTTAATTTTGACTTTAAAACTGAAAAAAAAAATAAAAATAAAAAATCGACTGTACATCCTGTTTTTCTTCTTCAGTTTATGACCTTAGCTGTGAGAGTGTGATCATTTAAAAATGAAGAGAGGCTGATCCTAGGCGAAAGTATATATTTTTCAGGTTTCTTAAGTTAACTTCTTCCACCGAAGAAATATCAAAGAGGGCATGTACGAATTATTGCTCACTCAATTCAAGTGTATCCATGCTTCCTCAGTACATTTTCTCGAGAATGCATTTTAGTATATACACACTCAGTGATCTTGGTGATTTAAGCAATCTGATTGGTTCGCTATCTCGGACTATTCAACAATATTCACCTCCTAGCGAGTGGATAATGTGTGAGCTCGGTGTTTTTCCCGTTTTTTTTAGAGAACGATCTTTTAAAAGTCGACAAAATCCTAGGGCTGACTTTTTTTAAGGCAAGAAAAGACTTGGAAGGATTCAATACGGCGTTTTTCAATTTACTGTAGCAGGAGTTTTGTGCTCGATGGATTGTTTACAACTCCCGTGTATTCGCGTAGAAGAAGCCGTTTCGTGAACTCAGCGTTTTCTAAGAAGAAAATTTTGGCTCAAAAATCGAAGTTTATTTATGACAAACAAATTTAAAAGGAAATGTTTGCAGAAATTCTACATTTCAAGTAAACAGGAAAAAGAATGATACAGGAAGACGACCTCTTACCTCGAGCAACCGAGCCGCCATTTTTGTCAGCACTTCATGCGAAGAACAACACAACAAACCCTTTTGGCTATAAACTTGGCGAGTCAACAGAAAACAACACAGGTCTACTTTTTTTCTCAGGTAAGGAAACAGTTCAAACTTTTAGCGATTCCATTGAAGCCATTACGCTGTTGTTTGCGAAATGAGTAAACTTGTGAATTGCCATGTTTGAAAATTCTGCAAAGATCTATTTTTAAACTTACGCGTGATTTGATCTGTCAATCAAATCCTACTTTTGAATGGTTTCCTTTCTGATTTTGTTGAGATCACTTCGTGTGTATATACTAAAACAATTATTCTTCTCAATCTCGGTGAATAGTGGCTTTGGGAATATTTACCTCGCCGCTTTCGCGGCTCGGTAAATATTTTGCCACTATTCACCTCGATTTCAAACAATAATTGTTAAATATTTGTCGCTTGAGAGGACTGTGATAATCATGGTGAAGAATTTATAATAAGGGAGCCAGGGGAAATTTGTAATGGCTCTATTCCGTTTATTAAACATTAAAAAGGAAAATCCGGCAAATGCTTTTCAAATTCTTCACAAAGCTTCCAAAACTGGCCAAAGACCCTTCTTCTCTTTGGGACTTTATTTCCCGAGAGAAAAAGGCCAAATATCCTAAGAATATCATTCACAAGATTTGCGTTAATTTATAGTGATAAATAATTCGATCAATCGATTGACTTTGTTCTTATTTGCTTGCTCTTCTCCCCGCTACTTCACTGGCTAAAAACTAAGTAAATAGTAGAATAAGAAATTTATTTCGTAAGATTTCCTCACAGCCTCATAACATTTATTATGCAAGATACAGGTTTCGATTCTATTCATAAACAAAAAAAACTATTTGTGTGAAATTGCTGCATGCATGATAAATGTATGGAGCTAAACGCAATTTAAAAGTATAACAGGGAGAAAAGAGCAATTCCTTTTTCTACTTCGGACATCAATTTTTTTTTAGCAACACACAGTGTAAGGTGAATTGACGGGCACTCTTTACTTATTTAGATTTGAGGATTCTTCCCGAGCACCGATCTTGAAAAAACTGTGATCATAGCTAATTAATAATGTACAGGTGAATATAAACAGCTATGCAAAGCGAATAAATTTGCGTACCTTTATACGCTGATTTTCAAAGAGCCTTAACTATGATTATAAAGCCGTTATAAAAAGCACAAAAGGAACCGTCTATAGAGGGTTTTTTTGAATGATTAGACTAGATCAGTCTTTTTAAACAACTTATAGTCTGGATATTACAACTCTTCTGCTAGTCTTTCATTTGTGAGTCCGAGAACATGGCGTGGGTCTGTAATAACCATTGAACTGACTTCTGGCTTGCGGGTAACAAACAAATTAAAAGTTGAAAGCCTTTATTATAATAGTACTTCTTGCTCCGTCAATCACCTTCGTCTCATCTCACCAGTTGTCAGAATATCGCGATTGATTCAGTTTCTCCTTTTTTTTTTTTTCTCAAGAAAATTGTCTTTCAGTGCATACACTCATGCCTTTTTTTGTATATTTTTAAGCGAACGACTAGAAGAACGTCTTCTGATTTGTTTGTTAAGACAGATCTCAGTATCCCTATTCTGCCTGATCTTGGCCTTGACTGCATTCCTCTTCTTCTTCCGAATAGTTACCCAAAAGGAGTTCGTTTAGTTGGTCCTGTCTGGCCAAAAAACGGAAACATATAATGCGACCAGATAGATGAAATATAAATAGAACCAGAGCATGGCAGGAAAATACGATTCCAGAGAGCTCCATATTTCCGGATGTGTTTTCCCAAGGTCTGCTGCCATGAAGAATTGAAGCAATCTGGAAAAACCAACTTCCCTGTAAGCTTAGTAAATAAGATCTAGAAAAACTCACAAAGGGGGCAAACCGATCGGAAACAACAGCTAAGAAGAAAACGAGGGCAGTAACAAAAACGAGAATGTAAAGAATACAATGAACATGCACGTTGAGTTCATCTCTTCCGTGAAGATGGAGATAGAACAGGAATCCTTCCACCCAGAAAGCAAGTGATAGTACTAAATAGTCGAATTTTGGTGGAAGGGGTAGAAAGCGATACCACATTATGAGATCTACGATACCGCTCAACCCAAAGAAACCGTACATAAGTGCGTGTCCGTGATTGCGTAAGTTCTTCGTTATGAGTTCGCCCCGTTCGCCATATAATTTTGCTGAGTTGTTAAAAGGCATTTCAACCAAGATTCCGATTGCTGATAAGATCACTTTTATCATTGGCTCCAGAGGAATTTTGGAGAGCGTCGGACCCGGGCATTGATACCACACGAGTTGTAATCGGTTGGATCGCCTTTTCCGCTTCTGCTTATCTTTAGCTCGGAGTGTTCTGCTGCGGCGGTTCATTTGCAGGACGTCTCCAATAAACCACCACACGGAGATGGTTAAAAACATTGTTCCTGCCACAGCATGGCCTATGAACCCTCCCATCTTGTTTCAGGAGCTGGAATGAAGTTTGGCCGCTAAAACTCAGTGACAGTGAACTTGCTACGAGCTATAAGTATGGCTGACTTTGACGAGGCAAGTGACGAGGCAAAAATAGGTGCCTTTGATTACGTTCGTGCTGATAATCTTTGAAGCAAAAAATACGGCATAGATAACGGTTCCTTTGATCACCTTGGAAACAACATTAAGTGAACATTTAAGGAAGCAGCCAGCTGAATTAGGGTGCTCACAGAGAATAAGCAGTCATTAGTTACTAAGTTACGCATTGGCTACAATTCAAGGCAATCCAACAATACTGAAAGACAAAATTAACAGAAAATTCCTAATTTGAAAACTCCTTTTAATTCTTGATACGAACTGAATAATTACATATAATTAAAGTAAACAAATATTGTGATCACTGAAAATTAATGTTAATTCTCTCATCAATAGGAGACTTCCACTTCCGCTCAATAATGTGAAGAAGCATTTGAATGACACGGTAATAACGGCTGCGTATTTTAAAGTATTCGAGACTGAGATTTAGCCCAACTTCATTTCGGCACTTCCACTAAAATGAGAAGGTTCATAGGCCAATTACTGTGGCGGGAAAAATGTTTTTAACCATCTCCGTGTGGTGGTTTATTGGAGACATCCTGCAAATTAACCGCCGCAGCGAAACACTCCGAGCTAAATATAACTTGAGCAGCCGGAGGGAGAAGGCGATCCAACCGATTCCAGCTCGTGTGGTATCAATGCCCGGGTCTGACGCTCTCAAAAATTCCACTGGAGCCACTGTTAAAGGTCATCTTATCAGCAATCGGAATCTTGGTGGGGGTTCCCCTCTCCCCCTTCAACAACCTGGCAAAATTGTTTGACGAGCAGGAGGGCGAACTCATCATAGCCAAGAACCTGCGCAATTGCGAAAACGCACTGATGTACGGTTTCTTTGGCTTGGGCGGAATCGTGGATCTCTTAATGTAGTGTCGCTATCTTCCTCTTCCGCAAAAATTAGACTTTTAGTAATGTCACTGGCTTTTAGTCTGGAGGGATTCCTATTCTATGTCCATCTTCACGGAAATGATAAGTTCAAAGTAAATCGTACTCTTTTCATTTTAGACTTTGGTACCTGTACTATTGTTTTCTTGTTAGCTGTGGAATCTGATCGGTTTGCCTCAGTGGCGGATCCAGACCTTCCGATAAGGGGGGAGGGGGGGCGGTCATCCAGATCTTGAGATAAGGGGGGAGGGCCAGTCTCCAAAAAACTTTTTTCCGCCCTTCGGGCCTCAGTCTGGTCTAAAAATGGGGGGTGCGGGCCCCCCGGGACTCTCCCCTAGATCCACCACTGTGCCTCCTTTGTGAGCTTTTCGAGAGCTTATTTACTGAGCTTGCAGGGAGGTTGCTGTTTGCACATTGGTTTCATTTTTTATGGCACTAAACCTTGGAAAAACACCCCAGAAAATGTGAAGCTCTCGGAATTTGTTTTTTCTTTACATGTACTGATTATATTTATTCTTCATGCATCTATGTGGTCGCATTATATGTTTTCGTTATTTTTTGGCGAAAAGGACCAACTGAACGAACCGCTTTTGGGGAACTATTCGGAAGATGAAGAGGAAAACGACTAAGGCCAAGACCAGACAGAATGCCGGATAGTGACATCTGTCTTAACACGAACAAATGAGGATCCTTTTTCTCGTTGTCGGCTGAGAAACAAAACAAAAAAAAATGCGAGTCCATGTACTGAAAGTTTGAAGAATAAAGTAAGCAAGGGAGAAACTAAATCCAGCAGAACATTTTGATAATCCCGGGGCAAGCAAGAATAAGATGGCAGCTGGCGGAGAAAAAAGCACTGTCTAATGGCGTTTTAGCTTTTTTTTATCTCCGGAGAAAGTCAGGACTCAGTTCATTAGCTAGGTTATTACCTACTTCAGTCTTATTCTCGGACTCGGAGAGAAACTGAGACTGCTAGCTCTATAGAGTTGTAATATCCAAAGTATATTAACTCATGTACTGAAAGATTGATCTTATTTAGTCAGTTACGTGTTTAACAGTAATAATTTAAGCTCTTTGAGAAATTACGTAAACAGATGAAGGGAATTAAGCCTTCTGTAGACTCTCCGTAACTTTTGTTGTTTGAAACAGCCTCAATTCATGCAAATTTGTTATTCATTCAGAAAGACTGACGCTACTTTGTCAGCGATTAAAGCTGTTTACAGGTCAACTGGTACAGAAAAAAACCTTCCTATAGACTAAAAATTCGTATACTGCTGCCTGCAGAATACGAGTAATTAAAACGGTCTCTTGACGACATTGGGCTCTTTGAAAAGTGTTTAAGGTCTTCTAATTTATACGCTTTGCACAGCTGAATATGTTCACCTTTATACCAGCTATAATCACAGTTTTTTAAGATTAGCGCTCACCAAGAAGGCCAAATAAACTTAGTAAAGATTGCTCGTCAATTCACTTATACGCTATACGTTATTGATTTCCGAAACAGTGCCTAGGAGGTCTAAAATGCAGTCAGAATACAAAGAAAAACAAGAAGACGCTAAAGGTAAGCTTCAAAGCGATATTCAATGTACATTTTGCTAATTTAGTGAGCAAAAAATATTTCTCCATACTACGTCTTAGGTCGTCTTATAATTTTCTTGCTCTATGAATAATTAATAAGCTTAGGTGAGTAGTGTTGTTTTCGGGTTCTTGGCATCCTAAGAGGCCTGAAATGCAGTCAACACACAAATAAACATAAAATATAAAAGGAAAAATTTAATATACGTTTCGCTCAATTATGTAGAAATAGTATAATTCTCATACAACGCCTTACAACTATCGTCGTATGAATAATTAATTAGCTAAGTAGGATAATGTTGTTCAGGGCTCTCATAGTGAGCTTGGGCCTCAGCTAATTTTACAACGGTTAAAACACAACGGAATCGAAGGAAAAGGCGTTAAAACCCTTTGTTCAGCTCAAAAACAAGCGAAATTGATGGGGTCTTCAAAAACGAAGACGAAATTGAAGTCACGCGAACATGACGTGTCGCGACTCACATAACAAAACATTGACAGAAATGACCCGTGCGACCCTTGCGTGAGACCATATTGTACGTTTCTAAACGGTGTCATTTCAAGCGTCACGGTTTTAAATTGCCACAGACAAGAGATAACCGGAAATGTCACGCGAGGGATATTTAAAAACGAGCCGATAAAAGACGTTCTACTGTTCTTGCTTTGTACATTCGAAGTTTCCTTCAATAATACATCCATGACGATTAGACTTGCTTCTCTGTTTATTGCAGTATCAAAACATTTTAATGACGGGATGTGGAGATTTATTTGTACTTTATTAATGTTACAAAATATTTTTTCGGGGCTGCCAACTGTACACACTGCTGCACGCGAAATCATTCAATGACCATTGCACATTTGAAACTCGAGTGTACAATTAAACTTCATACTCAAACACTAACACTTATTGCACCATATTTATCCGTAGATAATCCATAGTTGTACTATGGCTAACATTATTTTTTCCTTAGTCCATATCTAAAAATCAGAGCGAACGCAACAGGCGCACACTCCCTTAACCTTAGTCATCATGCCCACGTTTAAGGGAAATAAAGTAAACAATAATCTGAAAGAGCACAAGAAGTGGTTTCTTGTCACTACGCTTTCACTTCAGGTCCATATTCCTGCTCTCTTTAAAACGACTAAAACCAGAAACATCCGACGCGGGCTTTTCCTGTACTGTCACTATGGATCTCATATTCTACTAATCAGTTGGGTGCTCTTTCAGTGGTTGGCTTTATTTTTCGTCTCAAACAAACCCTATCGATTTTCAATACGTCTAACCGGCCCAACATTACTATTATACACTTCCACTTAAAAATGTATTACAAAAAGACAAAATAAAGTCACGCAGCAAAGTCAAGCTCCTGCTCAAGAATACTTAAGTGAGACAGTGTAAGTTTGCTCCTCACTTCAGCGGAAACTTTGAGAAGCATGCTACAGGGATGCTACTGCTGAAATAAGAAAGCCTTTCCTTGTTTTTGAGTTGAACAAAGGGTCATAACACCTTTCCCTCCGTTGTGTTTTAAACGTTATGAAATTAACTGAAATTTTCGGTTTAGGTCTTAGTTTTAGAGATTTAGAGGGGGTCTTAGGTGTTAGTAGCGGGTCTCCCCCGCGCGCGAAGCCCGCGTGGGACAGAGCCCCATACTCATGGAATATGGTCAACCTCTTTTCGTTTGGTTGTCACGTGATTGACCGAGCGTACGTACGCGTTTACAGATTGTACGGGTGGGGTAGGGGAGGCTATCAGAAGGAAGGGAGGTGTGTCGCAGGCGTGTCTTGGCAAGTCCACATCATTTATATAGAACATTCACAATATGGTCAATTGACAGCTGTCAAAACAGGATAGCCACTGACCAATATCCCATGACCATAGCGCGGGCTCATGTGTCAACTCATCGAAGTGACGTGATTTATTTGGAAGCTCTCCGCTGACCAGTTAACTGCTTTACTAGATCGCGAACAATGTTCAATCTCATACTTTCTCACCCTGGTCACGCTCTACGTTCAATTTTTATGCTCTGATTGGTCAAAATTTGACAGCTGAGTTCATGCGGAAAATTTATGCAGCATCTTGAATCTTGTTTACTTTGGCAGCTGAAGCTGACAGAGCTTTGTGTCAACTTGTGATGTTTTTAACTGTCTTTTTCCACTGGATGTACAAAATGAAATACAGCTGCTAT